CTCAACACGTCTCTGTACTCTTCAGTCTCCTAATCTTTTCCTTAACACATATTCCAAGTCCGTTTAAGTGTTACTCCCTCCAGGGTAGTCTAGGGCCAGTTGTCACAATCTCACAGTATCCTTGCTCTTCCCTCACAGCCTCTAGTGAAACTGTGAGGAAATGACTCTCTGGGCAATGCCTGCCCCACACTCAACCCCCTCCCGTCTCCTCTAATCTTGAAAGTGGAAACTGCTTCCATTTTGTTCACCCAATAGTCTCAGTGCCTAACACTGTCTAACACATTTGTTGAAAGATAAACAATCTCTGCCCTTGGGGAACTTACAGTCTAGGAAGGGAGCAATAAGTACACCAATAGATCTGGTGTTGAATTTTTCCTAAAAGCCTCTCTGCTAAAGCTCCCAGGGGGACTCAATCTTCCCTGCACAGAAAAGGTGAGTGAAATTAGCAAATGAGTTACATCAAGCTGGATGCAACATTATGACACAAATTAAAAACTTCACAAGTTAACACTGACACTTCTCACAAGTTTTTCATCCTAGACTTCTATGAAATATAAAAAAGACTATAAAAAGCAGCACAACTTTTAAACTTTCCAACTCTGGTGCCTGGGTGGCTCAGTTAAGCATTTGCCTTCAGCTCAGGTCATGATCTCAGGGTCCTGGGATCAAGTCCTGTGTTGGGCTCCCTGCTCAGCGGGGAGTCTGCTCCTCCCTCTCTCTCTCCCCCAGCTTGTGCTCTCACTCACTCGCTCTCTCAAATAAATAAAATCTTTTTTTTTTAAATAAATTTCCCAACTTTTATGGGGAAGGTTTATGGAAGGATACTTTATAACAATGTCATTTTTTTACATATAATATCTAAAAATAACTCCTAGAAAATACTTAGGGGTCTGTTCTTTCAAAGACAAATATAATTATTGCTACTTCAAGTATCATAAGCAGAGAAAAAGAGGACATGACAACACCACCATTTTAAATGAGAGGAAATTATGAAATAAAGCATTCCAGTATGCAAGTAGCTCAATTTTTTTTTTCTTGAGAAAGGCAGGGTAAAGTTTTTATAAATACTGAGTTGTATTAATCTGAATAGAGAACTCTATTCCTTTATTATCTTGGATGCTTTTCATTTTATAAGACCCACTGCATAAATATTATTCCATAACGAGTGACATACATTATTTCCATGGAAGTACATGATGGGGAAACAAACAAACAAACAAAAAAACCTAGGTTTGCCTCAAACTCTTTTCCAAGAGGTGCCAAAAGCAAGTATCTTCAGAATTTGCAATTTTAAAAATGTTCAAAATAGGGCGCCTGTGTTGAGGGGGGGCCGCAGTCAGTTAAGCATCTGACTCTTGGTTTCGGCTCAGGCTGTGATCTCAGGGTCGTGAGATAGAGCCCCACATCCAGCTCTGTGCTGAGTGCAGTCTTGCTTGAGATTCTCTCTCCCACTACCCCTCCCACTCATATGTGCTCACTAGCTCGCACTCTCTCTAAAATAAATAAATCCTTAAAAAAACGTTGAAGAAAGGGTATGCCCAACATAAAAAATAAGGTCACTATCAGGTCACATGTTAAAAGAAATCCTTCAAATTCTCAAAGGTCTGGGTTTTGTTTTGTTTTTTTTAAGGATTTTATTTATTTATTTGACAGAGAGAGACACAGCGAGAGAGGGAACACAAGCAGGGGGAGTGGGAGACGGAGAAGCAGGCTTCCCGCGGAGCAGGGAGCCCAACATGGGGCTAGATCCCAGGACCCTGGGACCATGACCTGAGCCGAAGGCAAACACTTAACAACTGAGCCACCCAGGCGCCCCTCAAAGGTCTGAGTTTTTAAAACCTTTCAAAGCTAAACCAATTTTAAACTACTCTGATTCAGTTCCTACACACCTCTCTTCCCATCATGAAGAAAGGAAAAAAAGGAAACAGGCTTCAATAAAAAGCATCCCAACAATTCAAATAGCTTCAGAGATTTAAAAGCCAACAGCTTTGCTACCTCAAACATCTCCGTCAAGTTTCTTCAGTTACGCACACACTATAGCCGGGACAGGAGGCTATTTCTCTCCCAAACTACTTAGAGTGTCTTACCAAAAAGATTAACTTGCACACAGACAGTGGTCTCAATCATTAACATAAATGAGTACCTGGGTTGTACCTGGTAAAAATGCAGAGTCCAGGGCTCTATCCCCTGAGGGTCTGATTCAGTAGGTCTGGGATGGGAGCCCCTGCAAAGTACATTTTAAATAAGCAACCCAGGCAGCTTCTGACACAGGTGGTCCTCCTCCCACCACCAGGAAGAATCAGCATAGTAAGCTCACCTGCCTCACTTTCAGCAAGGACTAAGTTGGAAATAATATTTCTGACATAATGACTTCTATTCCCATCTGGAAAATCTGAGAACAAAGGACCTCCTTTCTAACTGCTTTACTCTTACACTAGACACTCAGAGGTTTGTTATGGTTTTGTCTTTTCCACAAGGACCTTACACTAGACAGCCAATATGATGTTATACCCCCACTGAAGACCCAGAACTAGATGGAGCAGCCCAAGGCATCTTGGTTAGAAAGGCCCAGATGCATTAATTTTGTTCTGAGGATTCCAAAGACCCCCAAACCGGCCTGACTTTGAACTTCTGCTAACGGTCTCTGGTGAAAACTTCTAGAGGGCAGAGATCTTTGTTTTTGATTCCTCTGAGAGCCTGGTGCAGCACTGAACAGCTAGACAGACAGAAGGCACAGGTGCCTCTGTTAGGATGTGCTGGGAAAGGGAATTTTGATCTGGTTCCCATCTGATAAAAGAATGCCAATGACAGTGGTTGAAGAGGAGAAAGTTGAAATTGCTGTTAAATTGTGTTAAGTATTACTTACAAATTTTATGCTAATTTCTTTTTATAAATAGATAGAGCTGGGTTTAAAGTTGCAATCCCTTCCAGTGTCCACTTTGGAAGAGCTCTTTGTGGATCAGGTAAAACCTCTTTACCACAAAAGGAAGCTCTGAACTCATTTCATTTGTTAGAATTCTGTGGAAAATCATTACAGACAGAGTAATTTGCAGCTTAGTTCATTCATCATCAGATGTCTTAGAGTGCTTTACCAAAGAAGCTCCCAAATAATCTTTTTAATTGATGTAACAATTTCCTCCAAACTATTCAATGTACTTTACAAACATGAATTCTAGCAATGGGGAAAATGACCATGAAACACATTCTCAATTTGCACTATGAAAAATTAAAAGACTAACAGATTAAGTTGGTATAGTGAAGAGTATGTGCCTTACTATCGTGCAGATTTGGAGTTCAAATTCCACTGTACCACTAACAAGTTGTGTGAATTTAGGTATGTTACTTCTTCAATCTCCATCTTCCTCATATGTAAAATGGAGAAAATGATACCAAGTTCACCATAATTTGAAAACTTGACAATGTAGATAAAGTACTTAATTGAGTGACTAGTTCACCTCAAGCACTATGTAAATGGTAGCTGATGTTTTTATTGGAAATACCCACATTTCTAGATAAAAAAAAAAAAGTTCTAATCCTCTTAAGTACCAGTCTAAAATTATCGAACAAATTTTTCCAGCCAAGAATATATTTTTTATATTTTTGTAAATTTCAGGAGCCTTTCAGTGAGAACATTTTCAATTTACCTTTCAATTCCTATCCCCAAACAAGGTTTTCTCCCTTTGATGAAGCCCCACGACTTTCCCACCTCCATACCACCATTTTCGAAACAGTCCTCTTTTCTTCAACACATTTCCAGTCCCTCCTTCTTAAAGTCCACCCCTTTTATGCCCTAATACTTTAGTCCTGAGACTTGTGGCCTAATACAAAGAACCCCCAAGAAGCCATTGATACAAAAGCCTTAGTTTGCAAGTGCTTGTACCAATATTAATTCTTAAAAATACTTGATCCTTATAATAGTCCAATTTGCTACTCAAGGCTAATGTATCCAGATTTTACAGTTACAGACAAAAGATACATAGCTAGAAAACAGCACAGCCAGCCTAGAACTCAAAATTTCAGATTCTAAGTTCAGTACTCCCTCTACTTAACTTATAAAGCTACTACCTCTTGCATATTCTTTGTATCATTTGTTCCCAAAACATGAGGGGAAACTGTCTTTGAATCTTCTAGTATCACTAGAGCACTGTTGTAAAGGACAGCTTCCTCCCTACAGTATTTTCCAGAGCACAAAAACAGTTCAACCCCAAGACAGTGAGACCAAAAGTTACTTTCAATGGTTCCTGCACAATCTTCAAGTAAGAAAGAATTCTGGGATGCTGCATGAAAAGAGCCAAGAGGCCAAAGTCATAGTCCTTCCAAGTCGTCCTATATATTTATCCACTTCTGCCCTCTTTCCTTCTCCCAGGAGTTTTCTTTGGTCTGACATCTCAACGGGAACCCTTCTCAACCACAAACGACCCTAGTTGCCAAATAGATTTGTGCCCACACCTAAGTCTTCCTCATCAAGCACCGCATAGGTTCCCCGGAACGTTTAAGGGTGTCTCTCCTCCAGGTCCACACCTCTAGTCTGAAAAACTTCATCTTCCAGAGCCCGCACCACCTCGCCCCCCGCCCCCACCACCCCACACTCACCCTTGCACCTCCTCCAAAATCTCCCAGCCTCCCGGGTTGGCGGGCGTATGATACTTCCTATCTCTCTGGGCCCGGATCGCCAGGCCTGCAGCCCGCTGCTCCGATCTGACCCCGGCAGATCACGGACCCCTCTGGTCCCCCGAGCCCGAGGCCCACCAGCCTGGTCCCTGCCCCGCCTCCCCGCCCAAGGCGCCAAGTCCTCTGGGCTCCGTCTCCAGGCCCCGTCCGGACTCCGAGGGGCCCGGGAGCTGCGGGGAGGACAAGAAAGAGGTGGCAGCGGAGGTCAGGGCACGGGGCGGGCCGGGAGCTCGGGACGGGAGGCCCGGGGCCCGGCCGGCTCCAGGCTCCCGTGGCCCGGAGTCAGCCCTCCCGCTCCGCTGGCCCGCGCCTCCGCGGCCTGCCCTCACCTGATCCAGGTTCTCATCGCTGCCGCTGTCCTCCGTGTCCGAGTCGATCACGACGCGGCCTTTCCGCTTCTTTACCATGGTGGTCCCCCGGCTCCCACGCCGGACGCCGCCCGGACTCCCCTCTTGCCCGCCTGCCAGTGGGACCGCCGCCGCCGCCGCTCGACCCACACAAAGGCGACCGCGCATGCGCGCTCCGCTCCGCCCCTGGCCCCGCCCCCCGCTCGTCGCACGCCGTTCGCCGGCGCCCAGTGCCCCGCCCTGCCCCACCCCCGACGCAGCGTGGGAGGCGGGCCCCCGTACAGGGTTGGGTTCCGGACAGTGGACAGCGGTCTTGTACCCTGCGCGGGCCCCTGGTAGCTTTGGGTGTGTCTCCTCTGCGGGGCCAAAGCTTGGTGTGCTACGTACCTGTAGTGAACTGGCGCTGCAAGCATCTGGGTCTGCTCTGACAAGTTTTTCAACTGGCCCACACTGATGGAGTGTCGAGGGCGCCGTCAGGGTCTTGCCCGCCTGGAAGACACAAGTCGGCTGGACCACGCAGAGGGCACCCGTCCGGAATAAAGCCTACCTACTTGGGCTGTGCAAGTGACACCTGACCTGGAACCTGGAGGATGCATCCGAGTTACCCAAAAGAAGAGTAGAAGGAAGGGTGTTTCAAGCAGAGAACCGCGTGGGCAAAAGCCCGTAGATAATTGAAAAAATTGGGTTCGGGGAACTGAAAGTTCATTATGGAACAGAGAATATGGTGTGTGGAGGGATGAAGCGGCCACATCCTTCAGTGCCTAATAATCTATATTCAGAAGTTTGAACTTCAGTATTCAAAGATTTTAAATGAAGAACGACGTTATTAGATTTATGTTTTAAAAAGATTACTCTGGGTGCGGTGTGGCAAATGAATTAGAAGGGAGGGAGCCTAAGGGTGAGGAGACCACTTAGGCTGTTGGTGTCATTATGGCAAAAGATGATGGTGCCCCAAACTAATGAAGAGGCAGTGCAAATGGAGAGAAGTGGATGGATTCTGGATAATTTGGAAGGTAGAATTCCCAGGACATGAGTATTAGTTGGGAGAGGGGGTAAGGTGAGGTCCCTAGCACAAATGATGCTTAGATCCTGGCTTAGGAAGCTGGTGGTGAATGGGCCCTTCATCAGATAAGAAACACAAGTGTAAAGGAAGTTTGGGAGACTGGTGTATGAAGGAAATAAATTCAGTTTTTTGCTTGTTGAGGTCAAGTTAATTAAAGGGCAACCTCAGGGGCACCTGGCTAGCTCAGTCCATAGAGCATACGACTCTTGACTTTGGGGTCATGAGTTTGAGCCCCATGTTGGGCATAGAAATTACTTCTAAAAAATAAAGGGCAATTTCAGAAGTGATTTCTTTGTGGGATTTGGAATATAGGGTAGGGAACATTCGCAATAATAATTTGAAAATGTTCTAAAAACTTTTGGGGAGTCATAAATTCTTTGTTCTGGTAGTGAAATTGGGAATTAGACCCCAGTCTTCCCTGGACATTACTGGGCACAGGCAAGCTGATGAGTTTTTGCTCTCTGGCTCCCTTTTTCTTTTCTCCTTTACTGTCTAAATTTTATTTTCTCCAGTAAGTTAAAATATCACAAATGTGCATGCCTTAAAATAGTAATAAAAGAAAATAACAGACTTAAAGGAATCCCTGGAACTAAACACATACCTAGATGTCCAATTTGCTGCCAGTTAGCTTGAAAAGGCATTCAGGATTTAAAGAAAACTAAGGCCCAATTACCTTTTTACTCCAAAAGATTGTTCCTAAGATATAACCCCTAGACCCCTCTCCCATGGCCAGAATGACTCAAAATGACCAGGCTAGTTTCCCTATTTCTAGCCACCCTGAAGTTTGGTGCCCTTCTGTAAGGACCCTCTTTAAATGTGTTCATAGAAGAAGACCAGGGGTGCCTGGGTGGCTCAGTTGGTTACATGTCGACTATTGATTTCAGCTCAGGTCATGATATCAAGGTTGTGAGACAGAGCCCTGCTTTGGACTCCATGCTGAAAGTGGAGCCTGCTTAAGATTCTCTCTCCCTCGGGGCGCCTGGGTGGCTCAGTTGGTTGAGCGACTGCCTTCGGCTCAGGTCATGATCCCGGAGTCCCGGGATGGAGTCCCGCATCGGGCTCCCTGCTCGGCGGGGAGTCTGCTTCTCCCTCTGACCCTCCTCCCTTTCATGCTCTCTGTCTCTCATTCTCTCGCTCTCAAAATAAATAAATCTTTAAAAAAAAAAAAGATTCTCTCTCCCTCTCCCTCTGCCCACCTTCTCCCCCCTCTTGCCCACTCTTGCACGTTTTCTCTCTAAAAAAATTTTTAAAAAGACATAATAGGGGCACCTGGGTGGCTCAGTTGGTTAAGCCTCTGACTCTTGATCTCAGGGTTGTGAGTTCAAGCTCCATGTTAAGAGACCATAATATTGTCAGTATACTTGACTGCAATTAAGAAAGATAGGTCCTAGGGCATCTGGCTGGCTCCGTTGGGAGAGCATGCAACTCTTGATCTTGGGGTCTTGAGTTTAAGCCCCATGTTGGGTGTAGAGGTTACTTAAATAAATAAAACAAAAAAAAGGTATTTTTTTTTTTAAGATCTTATTTATTTGTTTGACAGAGAGAGAAAGAAGGGGGAGTGGCTGGCAGAGGGAGAAGCAGGCGGGACTTGATCCCAGGACTCTGGGATCATGACTTGAGCCGAAGGCAGACACTCAACCGTCTGAGCCACCCAGGCGCCCAAGGTATGTTCTTTTTTTTTTTCTTCCTAAGATTTTATTTATTCATTTGACAAAGAGAGACACAGCGAGACAGGGAATATAAGCAGGGGGAGTGGGAGAGGGAGAAGCAGGCTTCCCGCCGAGCAGGGAGCCCAATGTGGGGCTTGATCCCAGGACCCTGAGATCATGACCTGAGCCGAAGGCAGATGCTTAATGACTGAGCCACCCAGGCGCCCCAAGGTATGTTCTTTATTTGAGTGAAATCTATTGCTTTTGCTCTTTCTTCAACAAGTCTTCTAATGATTCATGTACTGGAGTTAGTCCATATAGAGAGTAAACAGCGTCTTTTTTAAGATTTTATTTATCTGAGAGAGAGAGCATGCACACAAGTGCATACAAGCGGGGTGGGGCAGAGGGAGAGGGAGAAGCAAACTCCCCGCTGAGCAGGGAGTCCGATGCGGGACTCGATGCGGGACTCGATCCCAGGACCCTGGGATCATGACCTGAGCCGAAGGCAGATGCTTAACCGACTAAGCCACCCAGGCGCCCCAAGAGTAAATGGTGTCTAGATTGAATGAATAAACATACTATACTCTAAATTTCCTCTTGAGTTGGCTTCCCAGAGAACCTGACCTGTGCAAGTTTTCCCTTAGTAAAATAAGGGTAATGATTATATCTGCCTCTTTGGGTTGTAACAAGGTTTAGATTAGTTAACATGTGTTTAAAAAGTGCTTAGAGAACTTCCTGGCAAAGAGTAAGCACTCAATAAATGCCAGCTATAATTGTTTCGGGAGGGGCTGAAGGAAGATGGTTAGAGATAGGAGATTTTTATTTTTTAATTTGTACACTTTGGTGCTGTTTGAGCTTTTTACGCTGAGTATGAATTTTTTATCATAATGATATTTTTAAAGATTTTATTTATTTGTCAAGCAGGGAGAGCAGCAGGCAGAGGGAGAAGCAGGCTTCCCGCCGAGCAAGGAGCAGATGCAGGATTGATCCCAGAACCCCGGGATCATGACCTGAGCTGAAGGCAGACCTTAACTGACTGAGCCACCCAAGTGTCTCCCATAATGATTGTTTAACAGTTTTGGGGAAATAGAATATTTTTTTCTTACTATAAAAATTATTCCTACTGGGGCACCTGGCTGGCTTAGTTGGTAGAACTTTCAACTCTTGATCCTGGGTTGTGAGTTCCAGCCCTACGGTGGGTGGAGAAATTACTTAAAAATAAATCTTAAAAAAAAAAAAGGTAGAAAGAAAGTGGAAATACATGTATGTGTGTGAACGTTGAGAGAAGTACTGGAGAAACCATTACTGTGTATGTTTGCCATGTTTTTGTTTTGTTTTGTTTTTAAGATTATAAGGGATTTTTTTTTTCTTTAAAGTAGGCTACAAGCCCAGCATGGAGCCCAATGCAGGGCATGAACTCATGACCTTGAGATCAAGACCTGAGCTGAGATCAAGAGCCTTGGGCTCAGGTCATGATCCCGGTACCCTGGGATCTAGTCCTGCATCTGGCTCCTTGCTCAGCAGGGGGCCTGCTTCTCCCTCTGCCTGCCGCTCCCCCTGCTTGTACACATGCACGCTCTCTCATATTTCTCTCTCTCTCTCTCTGACAAATAAATAAAATCTTTTTTATTTTATTTTATTTATTTGACAGAGAGAGACACAGCGAGAGAGGGAACACAAGCAGGGGGTGCCTGGGTGCCTCAGTCGGTTGGGTGCCTGCCTTTGGTTCGGGTCATGGTCTCAGGGTTCTGGGATCGAGTCCTGCATTGGGCTCCCTGCTCAGCGGGGAGTCTGCTTCTTCCTCTGCCTCTCACTTGTGCTCTTTCTCTCAAATAAATATATGAATAAATCTTAAAAAAAAAAAAAAAGCTGGACACTTAACCTACTGAGCCACCCACGCACCCCTATGTTTGCCACGGTGTTGCAAGGTCCTTCTTTTGGTTACCAGACCATTTATTTATTTATTTTTTAGTTTTTTAATTCAATTCAATTTAATTAGCATGTACCGTATTACTAGTTTCAGAGGTAGAATTCAGTGATTCATCAGTTGCACGCAACACTGGAGCTTTTCTTAATTAATGAGTTCAGGGTCTGAAAACTGGCTCAGATCCAAAGGTGGGAGAAGGATGTCACTTTTTATTGGGGCAACTACCTTCAGGCCCTTGATCACCCAACTTTGATTTCTTCTGATTGAAAATTGAGGATTAGCCCTGTTAGCTCTTGGAGATGCTGTATTCTGTTAACCATCTCCATAAGTCTCTGAGGTTCAGGCCTCCCTGGCTGTCACTCCGCCCTTTCTGCTATTAGAGTAATTGTATCTACCTGGCTTCTGGTAGTTAAGTGCTGCCACCTGGCCTCTTGTTTCAAGTTCTATCACCCCATTACTGTTGTGAGCCAAAATGTTTTGTAATGGTCTCTCCTACTGTCAATCCTGGCCTGCATTTTTAGCATGTAGT